GTCGTCCATTATATCAGCCACGATGACATTATGCAGGTAGATCACGTTGCCTAGCTTCAACTCCATCTCCTTCTCTTCACGGACGGGTATACGCTGACCGGTGGCTGTTACCAAATTAATGCGTTCTCGGTTGTATGCGGAGTCCCCAAGGAACTGACTTATAAGTTGGGAACTAACAACCGTACGAGAGGCTCCAGTGTCTATGGTCAGCTTACACGGCATTCCGTGGATCTCTCCCTTTATGATTAGGCTGTTCCCATCATGGGTTTGTGAGATCGCGATCCTTGTGGCTCTTTTAACATCAGCCAGTACCCGCCTCGCAGTTCTGGCTTTTACTCGTTTCCCTGCTGCTGCTGGGCGGTGCTGTTGGCCGCACTACCCTCCCGAGATCGTTCACTTTCCCTTTCTAGGGTTCGCTTAGGGCATCTGGATCGAAGATGGCCCTTTTTCCCACCGCCATAGCACCTAGGGCTGTATCCTTTGCTGCGGTCACGGACTGTAGCGGCTGCAACCTCCCTGACGCGATGGGAACGATGATCTTGCACCTCCAGTGCATGGGCCAAGGCGTCCTTAAGCGTCTCGTGGTGCCCCAGCCTCACAGCAGCTCTGACTTCAAGGTCGCGGATGCCGTCGATGAATGTCTGCACCAGGTTACCTTCAATGAGCGCAGGTACAGACCGGTATGCTTTTCGCACCAGCTTCTCCACCTCTAGAGCCCACTGCTGCAGGTTTTCGTTGATGCGCTGCACGCGATCTTTAAGCTGCGCACGAAAGACGTGTTTCAGGTGAGCGTTGCCATATCTCGCCTCCAACGCCTCAAGGAGTTGCTCATAAGTCACTTCTTCACCGAGAGCTTCCAGAACTGTTAAGGCCTGGTCGCGCAGGCCTAGTGTGAGAGCAGTCATGGCCTGACTTTTATTCCAGCCGTTCGCTTTCATAACAGCCTCGAACTGGATTTTGTAGGCTGACCAGGAAGAAGTCCCGTCGAACGGTGGCACCTTGAACCCACGTAGCGAAGGTGCTGAAGCTACTACGGGAGCTGTAGTTCCATCCCCAAGTTTGAGTTCATCCAGCGTTTTCTTAACTTGGTTGATTTGGGTCTCAGCTTCCGACAGGCGGTTATCATGTTGAGCAACCTTATCCTTCACCTCCCTTATCTCTTTCCCGAAGGTAGCGTGAAGGTCCTTCATGAGAAGCATCTGCTCTTCCAACCGACGGGCCTGTTCCTCTTGTCGGCGGGCCTGTTCATCCTGTACACCCCGCAGCTGCTCTTCCAACCGACGGACCTGTTCCTCCTGTCGGCGAGCCTGTTCCTCCTGTCGGCGAGCCTGTTCCTCCTGCTGCTCTTTCAACAGACGGGCCTGTTCCTCTCGTCTGCGCTGCAGCTGCTCCTGTAGCATGGCCATCAGAGCACCTAAGTCAGGTGCTGCAGATGTAGGAGCTACTGACGGGCCCGCAGCCTCCGTGGCTAGCAGTTGGCCCTCCGCCCCCCCGGTCTCCTGCTGGCGTTGACTTCGGGTACGGACACCCTCCGTTTCCTCTTTAGGTAAAATCGGCATCATTTGATCCCACTTCTGACACCAATTGTTACGAGCTTGAGGTTCGTGACAATAAAAATTGCCGATAAAATTACCTAAATTAACACTTTAATTTACTTTACACAAATTAAAACTTAAAACACTAATAATTAAACACACTAATTCACTTTATTCCGCTCCGAAGCTTCGCTTGTGTCGCCAATTCCAATACTGCCTCGATCGCATCTTTTAGCGCCTATTTATATAAATTAGCAAAGAAGCATCCGGAATATTCAAGTAAATGCGCGCAAAGGGACGAGTGTGCGAGTGTAGATTTTCTAGAAACTTAGTTCTTCGGATGGCGCTGTCGGTTGAGAGATTTGTGATGTCATTTTCTGCAAAGCTCCCCTCGCTCTCGTTCCTGACACTAGATGGCGCTAGTTGACTTATTCACGCAACAGTATTTTAATATGTATTGTGTTATTTTATTTTTGTCTTATAATATTTTATTTACTTATAGTTTTATATAGAAGTACCCGTTTATATATTTATCCTATATTATATATTAAGTAAGTATGTATATTTTACTAACTATATATGTATTCTATTCATTTGCATTTATTTTGTTTTATATCCTTATTATTTATTTATGAAGTGATTTATTACACCTGCCACAGTTTCTCAAATCATTCAGGGTTGATTGGCAGAGAATGCCCAAAGGCATTAAGTCCGCCCTTTATATCCCTTAGTATATAAGGTGTATAATAAAGATTAAATAAATAAATAAATTAAATGAAACTAATCTTACGGATTTTATCGCGTTTAATTTTGACTTTAAAGTCTCGACTTTTTGGGTGCATTACAGCACGAATTTAATGTCGCACCTTTAACAAAAAGCGGCATATGCTGAGGTGACACAAAAACGAACGTATCTAAGCGAACAGACTATACACCAAGGAGAGTTAAACTAAAAAAAGTCTCAAAATAAAATGCAATAGCATAAAAAGGCTTCAATCGCAGTAACGGTATTTAAAAAAAGTTACAAGTTTACAAGAAGTACTAAATTTGCTGACAGAGACATCGTTGATAAATAAAGAAAACAAACAGCTACTAGAAAAGATAGGAACTGATGAAAGCGAACTTTTAAAGAGACAATTCCTTAATAATTAAAAAATAGAATTAAGATGTTTCGGCCTAACACTTGATTATTAAAGAAAAGCCTAAGTGCTACGTACGTAAAACTTTTGAAACATGTATGCCTGCAACACGGACATCGACTAAGTGGTATATTTATACCCAATAATACCGTTGAAGCTACTGATGCATTCGTGTTTTTATTGGTCAGTATAAACACAACGAGGAAAGTAACCATAGCCAACTTTTTGAATAAATTTGAATAAAAATTTGAGTTTGACCAGTTTTTCAAAACAGGCCATAATTGTATTTAACTAATAAAACCATAATTTTATATTAGAGTAAAAAAAACCCGTCACTGCTGGCCGTATGGGAAGCTCAAAATCGCTTAGCAAGTTATAGAGACGGCTATTCTCGGGGTTTTCTGTATAATAAACTTAGAAATAAGGATATCCGCAGTAGAACCAGAATGACCGCCATAGCCCGATTAGTAAGCTGAAGTGGCAACCCAATACAACCAATGGGAACCAAAGGCTCTCGAGTGGCAACCTCGGAGCGGTGGGCGAAGTGTAGGGCTACCCCCTAATAGATATAGTAACGACCTGGTAAGATACGCAGGAAGTAGATGGAAGCAAGTGGCTCGTGAACGTGCTTTGTAGCATTCCCTGGGGGAGGTCTATGTTCAGCAGGGAACTTGTGAAGAGCTTTAATGAAAGAAGAAACGCTAACAATCAGTTTTAACAGCGTTGTACGTATGCGGACTATGATGATTTGTTTATTGATAAAAATACCGACATAGTCCTCGTCCTACTTTGCTTACGCATGTTGCCAGCGGCACCACCAAACGCAATGAACACAAACACAAACACAAATGCTGTTGTATGCGTATAAAGTGACACGATTCAATTATGCATTTGTAGTGAAGTATACAGTAGTGTGTTTTTCTCGCTCCCCCTTGAAAGTAACAGACTTTTTGTTTAGGAATTATTTAATTGTTAGGAATTATGGACTGCAGCTGTTTGAATACTCATAGCCTTGTAGCCTTAAACAAAATAAAATTCTCATACATGAAAATGAATTTGTCTATTAAATTTTAAACATATTTTATACACTACAGTGTTTCAGAAGTAAAGTAATTTTTGCTCTTTAAACTAGTGAAATCGTAGACGGAGAAACCTATAGACTAATGATCGGTGTGGCCTCAAATGAGAAAGGACGATAACGAATTTTTAGGTTATACAATAATCTTTACGACTTTTAAACACATTTAGATAAAAATTTTAATTGTTCAAAGAACTGAACTGAACAAGATTCACCAATCTTAAGGTCACCAAACACTTTTTTGTCACTTAAACCAACTTCTAAACTCCTTAAATCGCTACGCTGTTAAAGTTGTTTAGCAAACTGTAGAGTTTGCTAAACAAAAAAACCGGCACGCAGAAAGGGACAAACAATCACACCGCTCTATCTCATTTCTATGCAAGACGTATGCATAAATCTATCTTTTTCGTGTGCGAATGCGAAAGAAGGCGTCAATTTGTCTATAGGTTTCCCTGTCTACGAGTAAAATCGTAGATTCCAATCTGGTCATACTGGCTCCGTCCGTTTCCACGTTTATATATACAGTAATCTATGGTTTTTGGTTTCCGCTTTCCGTTTCCTGATTCGTGTATTCGTGTACACCAGTGTACACGACGCGACACGCGCACAGTGTTGCCACCTTAGTGGATTTTCCACTAAATCTGGTGGTTTGGAACCCCCTTTTAGTGGCAAATTTTTGCTTTTAGTGGCTAGTGGTTTTTTTTAGCGGATTAGGAATTTTAAAAGTAACGTTGCCTACACATAAGATAGATATCTTTACTCAAAATATTCGTGACTATTTGGACCAAAGATGCTACCTGGGATTCCGATTCGAAAAACAGATTCAAGAAATGAAAGAGAAAGGTTTTCCACGGGAAGAGGAAGAAGTATTGCGGAATAGGTGCATACAGTTTATAGGTTGTCTGATTGACGAAATAAAAAACAGATTGCCGGAAAATATTACTCTCATGAAACAAATATCCCGTATAAGTCTCGAAAAAGCCCTGCATCACAACAAAGAAAATCTGGTTGATATAATGGCTCGGTTCGTAACAAGTACAGAATTAATTGCAAAACTTTACGATCAATGGCAGCAAATTCATTTACTGAGATGGAATGAAACAAAAGATACAAAAAAAATTTTGGAGCAAAGTCTTGAAATTCAAAGATGCATAAGGTGTTGCTCGATTTCAAGAATTAGCAACATTTGCGATTACACTTTTGGTATTGCCACATTCGAATGCCGATGTGGAAAGACTTTTCAGTAGCATGAATATTATAAAAAACAAGCAGCGAAACAGAATGAAGCTAACTCTTTTGAAATCAATTCTAAAAATACGCTGCGGTATACAGTTAATGGGAAAGTGCTACAACAATTATGAAATTCCTTTAAATCTTATAAAACAAATTGGGACGAAGGAGTCATATCAGTCTGATAAGGATAACAGTAAGGCTGAAATGAAAATGCAGATTCATCTGAAGACGATTTATTAATGTAAATAATATCTTAAGCAACTTGATGTTTTTAAGTACTAAAAGTAAAAAAAATATATTAACAACAATAAGATTTTTAATAATAAACGTAATTTTACTTTTTTTTTTGCTTTAATCATATTCATATATCTTAGTGGAAATTTTAGTGGTTTTCAGAGGGGGACATCTTTTTGTTAGTGATTTTCTGGTGGTTTGAGGAGCCTTGTCTGGCGGATTGCTATTTCATCCGTTGGCAACACTGCACGCGCACGAGGATGCGGTATTGATTTATTGAGATTGAGTGGATTTTGTGCACGTGTTTCATTGCCTTTTTATAATTTAAATTTTATCCTGTGGGATCTTCGTATATTTATCTTACGCTGTAGAAATTTCTTGTACTGTAAAGTGGAGAGTTATTGCATTAGAAGGTAAGTGGATTTATTTGTTTTACTATTTCTGTATTATCATGAGTTGTCTTCAGTCGCCATATTGTGAGGCTTGGTTTTCGAATTAGTACTCATTATTTAGCTCCAAAGCATATGGTAAACATTTACTTTTACTATATTTGGTATAATTACGTGTACAGCATGATATATTTGTTTGGTTGTCAACATTATTTTAATTATCATTATCAAAACAATTTGCTAGTTGCCGACAGGTACATCATTAAAGGTATTATACTGACTAGCGAATTCATATTTATTAGTTCGTATAATCTAATTTAACGTATTAATCTTGCGATTTTTTATATGTGTTATGTCTTTGCGATAACAAAAAATATTTTTGGTCTCCGTGGTCATATAGTTATAAATATGCTCGATAACGTAGTTATATACAATTCGTATTAAAATGTTTAAATGGGATAGTAAAAATAGTTTATTTATCTATCTATCCTTTCGTCGTTGTTTGGTAGTAGGGAATGTACCTACCTATATTCGTTATCATCTGCTTATCATGTTTGGTCGATATAGTCTTTAGTCTTCGGCGCCATTTTGTTTGTTACAAAACACGAGGTTGGCTAATATTGTAGGTAGGTACTAGAATTATCAGTTTAATTTCTTGATTGGTCTTAATAAGTGCTTTCTGGTAGGATAATTACTTATTGTAGTAATTTTAAAATTGAGTTCTTTTATTTTAGTGTTCGTGTTTTGAAAACTTGTTGCATAGAAAATGGTGGGATCACGCGTGTACGTCGGCGGGCTACCGTTTGGTGTAAGGGAAAGAGACTTGGAAAAATTCTTCAAAGGTTTTGGCCGCATCAGAGATATCCTTATCAAAAATGGATATGGTTTTGTAGTAAGTAAAAATATCTATAAAATGTTATTATTTATAGTTAATTAAGTATTGTTCTGTAAAACTGTTTTATGCTTGTATTTATAATATGTTCCTCAATATTGTTTTCGTCAAGCAGTATGGGATGTTCATGGGTTTGGCATATTTTGGCGATTCTGTCCATCTGCCTGTTTGGAAGTATATTGACGCCCATTTGATTTGCAAATTCTGACGTGTGTTTATTCCTGTCGTTGAATAGCACAACTAAAAATATACTAAATTTGTGATCCGAATTTGTTCAGACATTCAATATTTTACTGTGTAGGAAATGTATTTCTCAGAAAAATACCTGCAAGCCTGCAACAGTATTGACCTTAATGCTAATCTACTACACTCTATACTTGCTATTAGAACAGAAATGTTTCAGTTTATCTTAATTACTGCAAAAGTGCTGTCAACAATGTGGATTCAACCTTACTTCAATAGATGTGATGATTTAGATAACATATATAGATCATTTTCGTTCATTATCCATATTATGATACTTAAAACATAATAAATAAATAAAATCACATCTATTTGAAGCAGGGTTGATCAATGTTGCAGAAACATCGATGATGACATCAATGTTGTGTTGATAGCTCAACATGGATGTTCAATGTTCATCCTACTCAAAACATCAAATGTTGAACATTATCAATGTCTTTCGCGTACCTATTTAATAGGTTAGAATTAGAGGAATAAAAAGAAAGACATGTTTTATGGTATATAAAAATGAAATAAAAGATTAATAAACAGTGTACTTATTAAAACAGTAATTAAACAGATTTGAAGAAGTTAACAAAATATCTAGTTCATTTGTTATACAGTTCAATATTTTTTGCTATTGATTGAAGAGAGAGTAATTTTGACAAAGAAGTACCTTTCAATCTGTTTTCTCTGCTGGTTGTTCTTTTGGTTCTTGCTGGTTCTTCCCTGGACCGAGGCTTTTCTAAACCAGTGGTAAAGCTTAAGAGACTTTCAATAAGTAATCTTGTAATCTATATTGAATAAAAAGGATTTCTATTTATAATATAGACAACCAAAACCAAGTACACATTGCAAATATTTTATTTATTTAAGTTTGTCTATTTGATATAAGCTGTTTCTGGAACATACACAGAGGGGCACTGCTATGATAGTTTAAATACCACTTCAAGATCATGGGCTGCCTCGTCCTTTCTTGCTCTACAACAACTACTAATATTCTACTTAACTTCTGTTTCGTTTTGTACATTCAGTAGCAATAATTAACCTTTTTATATCTATCTATTTTGTTACTAATTTTATATTTAAGTTCATGTATATAAATTATGATGTATCATTATTGTTGTTTTTGAAAATACAAGTAAATAAGGCTTCTAATTTTATTTGAAATTAACCCAAATTGAATGTGATTTATTAAACAAAAGCTACCCATATGCATGATTCTCTGTGCAATTCAATTCAAATGTTTTTGCCGACTGAGCGACCCTGACGAGTGTGTGTGTGCATAGCTAATGGCGTTATATATTTATGAATGATAATCAGTTAAAATAATGCATTACCACACATTCTGAATTTCAAAATAAAAGACTATAATGTTTGTGATTTATTTGATTAGCTTTTTCACCATTCGCCTATTTTGAACCTTCTATGCTAATTTGGGGGTGTGTATTGTAAAATAACCCTGTTCCTTCCTAAAAAAACCCTGACCCTCGACGTCGACCAGAAACCGGATGAAAAGGCAAGAAAAATTTAAACAAAATCTAAGTTGCATGTTTTCAAAATTTAGCATTATTCAGGGTTTCATACCAAAAAAAATTGTTGGAAAAAGTTGTGGCAACAGGAGCGAAAAGACTTATCACAGGTGTGAAATTTTTCCGTATTTTTTTAAATGCCTATAGTTTTGAAAACATGCAACTTAGATTTTGTTTAAATTTTTCTGACAACCAGCATGACTTGTCTTTTCGCCCGGTTCCGGGTTGACGTCGAGTTTTGGGACACACTATATAGTTCTTTTCCTTGGCAGATGGATTGGCAACTGCGGGTATTTATTTTTTTGAATGTCTCCTGTTTCATTTTCCTCTGTTGCCTCTTCACGGATGATATTATGCAGTCTTTAGGGCTTTTTAGTATGGGGAAGTGTATTCTGTTAAGTGGCCACTAGAAGGCATTATCAAGATCCTGCTATCACATGATGATTTCGAAACATTTTCATCCGTCCAGATATAGCTTCCTTAATGGTACCATTTTCTGCTGAGTGAGTGGTAAATAAGCATATGAAATTGAGATTACAAATGGGATCCAACCTGTCCAACCACAGTTTTTGTAAGACATTAGTAAGAGTTTACAATTGAATAATATCAGTATCTTCTGTGACTGTCAAAACTTAGTATTCATCATACCTCACTAACTTGGTATCACAACATACTTTTATGTTTCAGGAATTTGAAGATTATAGAGATGCAGATGATGCTGTATATGAACTTAATGGGAAAGAGTTACTTGGTGAAAGGTAAGGATTTCAATTTGCAGTGTTGCATGAAAATTTCCTTATAAATTTAATTTTGAATCCAATGAAGTAGTATATTTTGCTGTGGTCATTAGAAGAGCAAGAGAGGTGTCACTGCAATTGCTAATGGCTTGACAAATGTGGCAGTACAAGGCAAATCCTCCCTAACATGAGCAAGGCCCATGTCCAGGTTTGGACAGTTCATGGGCTAATAAATGAGTTTTATTAAAACCATTATTGTAGAGGACATTTCTCTTTGTAGATAATCACTATTCATGACGAAAATAAAGAGGACGCGACCTAAGCAACTACACTGTGATTCCCAACTAGATCCTGCTTGACATATTGGTGGGCATGGCCTTGGTCTTCCGTCGGCGTCCTCCGATCTGTACATACAACGCTCGCCTTCGGTTAACTACTATTTTTTATGTTAACTGAAAGTGAAAAGATAAAAGGTTGTGTTTTAAGTTAAATCTTTTAACATGTAAGAACTACTGGGACTTTCTTATTAATACAATTTTATTGTTTGTATTATGTGAGCTGTAAAAACGTCTAAATAACATTGTCATCATTACAGCTTTTAACAAGTCCGTTGCTAACCAAGGATGCTAAAACATGGCCAAGAGCAACTTGTCTTCATTGTCTTCTTGCATGGCTTACCAGGTCGTTACTCCATCTCGTGGGAAAAATTCAATTTATTTTAAATATATACCTACGTATAAAAATATAAAATCTAACAACTGTGTTACCGCTCAATAAAATATAGTGTCCCAATCACTTCATCTGTCTATAAAGGTACATTGTTGATCATAAGTCTCCTGTTTTGTAAGAATATGTAAACGATAATTACATTACTATTAATTTATTTGTTGAATAAATTTTGATTGATTGTCTTTTCATGTTTTTATCATTATTATAAAATGTTTTGCAATGTACTTGCCATTTTTAGTATTTATATAAAACTGTGCCAAATAGTAACATAGGCAAAGCATTTAGCTTTTCTATTGAAAAACGACAGGCATTATTTAGCTATAGTCAGTGCACCTGCCAAGTGTTGTAAATTAATCAAATTTTCCCTCTTATAAGGCGGGCCTGTATTCAGAATTGAAGTATTGTGGTAGAGCCACCCAGCACATATAATTTTGCTGCAGTGAGATATACATTGCATCATCATAATGCTGCTGAGTTTCGTATGGTGAGTAAAGAGAACCAGGAAAAACTTAACTACAGTCTGATTTTTCATTCCATAGAATTCTGACAGCTATCATTTTTTGACATGTCAGAGGTTACAAACCTTTTGGGTCGGGCACATTTTTCAATTTCAATACGAGTCTGAACATCTGAGTCTATACATACATTTTATTTGTTAGTGAATGTATCCATTTTATTAAGTGCGGTGCTCTACATTTAAAAAAACGCACAAGTAAAGATAACATATTTTTATTAAAATCTTTAATCATCGTTAATACTTCATCATCATCATCATCGCTTAGATGAATTATTAAAGAGTCTGCGACTGTGTCAATCAAATCATCGTGAGTGCACATTTTATCTTTCACTTTTTCACTTTTCGTCATTTTTTTTACGTGGTAGAGCCATGTTGCAGCTATATGAATAGTATAGTTGTAGCACGAATGGGTCGGCTCGACTGGGGAAGGATCATGCTCTCACAGAATACCAGCGTCAAATAGCAGCTTAATGCTGTTGTTTTCGTATGGTGAGTCTAGAGAACCGGAGACGCTTTTAACTGGAAAAGAGGCATTCCATCTTAGTCCTCAAGGCTGACAACGCATCGCATCGAGGATGGATGTAGATGTCTATAGGCCACAGCAACCACTTTCCATCAGGTGGACTGTGTGCTTGCTTGTCACCCTTTTCCTATAAAAAAAAATTATCTTCTTCTTTTACTGTATGGCTGATACATGCTTACCATTTATCAGGAGTATCATTACTTATATTTTCCAGTAATAATTTTTAACTTCCGCCATGACTGTATGTCCTGAAAATAAAAATAAATTTAATATTTCACTTATACTTGAGTACAGTTATATATGCTTATAAATTGAATCGAACGGCAGTTGAGAATTAACCCATGGCTTTCCGCTGAGCGCACGCACCCCCAAATACATGCTTCGCGAACCGTTAGGGTGTAGAATTAGCAGCTCTAAACCGGTCACTGTTTCCCTGTGTAGAAACTCTACAATCTCACCCACCTTTTTGTGATGGTCTTCTACTATCATAATATGATTTTTTTCTACCATTTCTTCGGTAGTAACCTCAATCGAGCGTCTTAAATGTGCAGTCTGTAGTGCTAATACCACATTTAAACACATCTAATAATAAAGGGTCTGAAGTGTATGTGCACATGCCCCCATGTACTTCCATCATCTTTGCTCTTATTTGGGCATCAGACCACTTTTCCAAAATTAAATTAATCATAGCTCTATACTCGTTTGCCTTTTTGTACATAACTTTAAATTGCAGTCAAACATAAATTAAGCGAAACTAGTTAATGATTCTTGCAAGGGCAATTTTAACATAATATTGGTATTGCAGTGCCTGTTTTATTTTTTTGATTTACCAAACATTATCTCTTAAATTCTATTCAGGTACTTTCACAAAAGAAATTGTTTAAAAAAAGTAGTATACATTGTGTATGTATGTATACATTGTGTATGTACATTAGAAACAAACAAGCTAGTGATGTCAGTTACCTAACTCACAGTCAGTTATTCCTTTGTGGATAAAAAAAAATAAAGCTTTTACAACAGTCCCAGAAAGTATATTACCCAATTTAATTTTTTATTAAAGAAATATTGTTTAAAAAGGATTATTATAATTTAAATGAATACATGGTTGATTAGGAATGAGGTGTTCTCTTCCAAGCTGTCTGTGTTATAAGTAAGTTTACTTGTGTTTTTTTTTTTTATTGTATAATTGTACTAAATTAAGTCCCATTGGGTTTTTCATGATTCTATCAAGGACAGGATTTTGAGAACAGTGGTAAAAGTAAAAAATGTCTCGATAAGAATTACTTGTAATATCTATATATTAAATAAAAATAGTTCTATTTTGTATTATTTGGTAATATTTTTGTGTAATATTATACTGACACTGTTGGGACAATCGTCCAACCCTCGACCATTCGACGACAACCATTAATAGATGAGTAGATGGTAGTTTGTGCGCGTCGGATGATGGTTTTGTTGAGTAATATACCGATATTACTCAGTCGATTATATGGCATAGGTGGTAAATTGACTCCACATCAAAGTGTTCGTCTCGCGCATCTCGCATTCAACGGCTCCTTCCACAATCCAAGGCCTCAAACCAAACAAAGTAAGATAGACATAATTCGTTAACTTCGAATGACGCAGTCAAAACCATGCCCATTTCATTGTAAAAATACGCGTTTACGCACACATATACATCTAAAATCATTTGCAACCATTAGTATGGTTTTAGGTGCATAAGTGTGCGTCCAGCTGTTGACTTCTATTGGCTGATAAAGAAAGAAAGAAGTAACATTGTGTGTAGTGTTGTCTTATCTTACCTTGTTGATCAGAGTTTGAAGGGCGATCGTTTAGCACCAATCATTGTTAAGTTGGGGCTATAACGCTTTTGGTTGTCGCAGGGTGGTTGTGGAGCCGGCGCGCGGCATCGACCGCAGTGCGGACCGGTACCGGCGCGACCGCTACTACGAGCGCGACCGCGGCGGCCGCTCGAGATATGAGTGAGTAACATGTTTTATAGTAACGTGGCTTTGATCACGCGATACGAGTAAGTGCGATGTTGTAGGGAGTCGTTGGAGCGCGCGATACGATTGAGCGCGTATAATGTAGGGAGTCGTTGGAGCGCGCGATACGAGTGAGTGCGTGTTTTGTAGGGTGGAGCGCTCGTGGGGGGCGAGCCGCGTTCGTACGTCGCGAGCTCAGCCCGCGCCGTCGCCGCGTGACAAGTTTGTATTCTTGTTACCCACGACACACACATCTATTGAGTATAGCTTGGCGATCTAATCCACAACATAGTCTTGATTTAACGACATTTTTGGTAACATCTTAAATATAGTGATTTTATAAACTTTTTGTGCCAAAACTTAAGCAACCAAGAGAGTTTTAAAATTAATCATGTAGTAAAAACTTTACCAAATTTCATTCACCACATGAATAAATACATAGTAAACTTGTTTCTTCTTTTTGAAATACATATATGTTTAACACTAGATTATAACTTTGGCCTGTTTAATTCTGTGAATAAAAATTCGTTCAAAGATGGATGCTACAAGGTTTTAAGGGTTGGATGGACAATTTTGTGGGTTGGATCACTATGTCCGATTGCAAAAACAGAGTTTGCTTAAACTCAATGTCATATTGTACATACATCACACTACACAATTCATATAAAAATTATTAGTTGATTAGTAGTTGTTGAGTGTTTGATTGATTGTAGGATTTTCATAAAATAGTAATATTGCAAGCTTTGTGTAAACCTACGAAAACTACATATTTGTTTCTTCAAAATTCTATTTTGACTGCCTATGAAAGTAACTAAATTATCATCACGATTCAGTATAGAGCATGACAGTGGTTTTGTAAATTTTATGACGACATTGATGTTTTGTTTTTAGGCAGTATAAAATATAGTGGCAATGAAAGTGTAATTTTTACATAGTTATTTTTACCATACCTTATTTTATTACCAAGTTGTTGTTTTGAAGTTCTGGCATGAATGACACATCACAATAATATTGGGACTACCGGAAAGATTTGTCATTGGAGTGGCAATTTAAACTGTTGATTTTCTATTTCCTTCTTCAAATACTCTAGACTTCTACTGGATTTTTTATTGACCTCTGATTAGTTGCAATTCTTTATAAATTTTACTTAACAATCAATTAAAAAATTGACTAAGCTGTTTGGAGTGTAAGGAGGATTAGACTTTAAAGATTTTCCATCCTATCTCATGTATTTTCAGTTATGTTGTCTTTGAAATGTGCGGCCTTGTACTACGTCTAAGTACGTATTCTGCGTGTGGGCAGGAAGTTAAGTCATTTTAAATAAACTATCAAAAACGGTTCAGTATTGGAGAAAAATGACGATATTGTAATGCTCTTCTACTATATAAAAAGTTGGTTTGTTAAACTACTAAAATTTACGTGACCAGCCCAACAAAATATTGATCTTTGTCAAGGATCTTTAAGGTTTAGTTATAGGCTGTTTATCATAATTAAATCATAACCTTTACATACAACGTTTTTTTCCTATATTTCGCCTTAGTATATGCTCTACACTGAAGAAATTATGACGTAATATAAGTTAATACTTTTAATCTATTGATTTAAGAAATAAATAAGAAATTTCTATGTAGTAATTGACAACTTTCCGGAAGACCCAATAGATAACCCCCAAAGAAAATATTTGATACCAGCCTAACTAACAATTCACACTATACATGAAGTTTTATGTTGCGTAAATATGCAAAGTTAAACTTCACTGCTAATTATAATATTATTTTGCACATTTAGTTTTTGCATGTTGTATCATGTAGATGCATTGTATAATAATATGCTTGATTACTTTAAGTTTTGTTGATTTTTCTTCATTATTGCTACTTTCATTTTCAGTTATTGTATGTAAGTATTAAAGCAATATCTAGAAAAACTAATAAAATTTTACTTAGGATAGTTTTCATTGAGCATCTTAAAATAATATAACTAATTAATTTTATGTTGTGTTTAGAAATTAAAAATAAATATTAACATCCTTCATTTTTATCTAACTTATTTTAAATAATTCAGAAGGTAAACAATGAAACATTTACTACATAATGTTGAAAATATACAAATATGCAACTTAAAAACACAAAATTATTAAATTTCATCAATAAGAATCCTACATATATCACCTTTTTTAATTGTGAAAAAGATTTGATATTGATTATAAGTCATATGTGTAAGAAATCTTGACTGCATTACTAAATTCAAGCTGTTTAGGACAGTATATGATGGATTATTACATTGAAACACTTTCTCACTTTTTTAATATTACAGTAATTTGCTTAGTTATATCTCATTATAACACTTTCTTTTTGTGTTTACAGTGACTACAATTATAGATATGGACCGCCAACGCGCACCGAGTATCGACTAATCGTTGAAAATCTGTCTAGCCGCATTAGCTGGCAGGTAAGAGATTGAGCGGAGACGCTACTGGGTCCATCATCATTCCATCACCAATCACTCAGGGTCCGGGATGAGCTTTGCGGTCAATAGAGGGCTGGGCGGACCTGGTACCACCATTACACTGGCCTATTCACACGCGCTATCGGGTATCGGATGGAACATCAGAAATACTGGAATATGGCATCAATGAGGAGCAGACTGACCAAGGGCAAAGAAACAACAAATAGCAGATGGCGAGTCAAATAAGCAGAAGAAGGAAGGAAAATCAAAACTAAATAACCCCTAGAATGAGAGACAATCGGCATCTATTTTAAGGCGCACATCCCTATTGGAAGACTGATTCAATTAGAACAGATACACAAAGTTGATGATGAAGGATGACTTGGACAACCATGGTGCAGGAATAGATCCACGACGCTTTCATGTGACAAGAGAAGTTTATTTCTAAACAGTTTACAATCATTAGCGTTCTTAACATTGTAAGTTAGTTTAAATAGCCATTTGCATAGAGTTCATATACAAAATATTATTGTAATGCAAACTTACGAGCTTATAGATAATTTTTAAAAACGACAGAAGGTGGCGTTTCGTGCCCTGAGCCCCTGATGTAGCGCAGTGTGATGTGGTCTGAGGCGATTATAGGAGGGTAGCGTCGCCGCAGCCGTCGTCGCGCCGATACAAAACAAGGTAAAGTCGGGGGGCACAACAGGACCTGATCTCGTTATGTGCAATCCTCCCCATTTTCTATTTCATTTAATCATTATACCTCTAAGTTTCCGACATAATACCGAGCGCTTTAGCATACGAGATTCGTCACTTGTAAAATTACATTCGAGCGTTTTTTTTTTATTTATTTTTTGTGCTCGAACTACGTTTCGTGTTTGGTCATACCTTCATTGGTGTTATTGCACAGGAAGATGACTATTGCTGCCTCTCAATAGGGATAAGCAAAGAGTTGCCATAACATGACTTGCATCCAAGGATGGCGGAGAGATGTACACAGGCAATGAGGCTGGACAAACCATGCACCAGACTAAAGTGACCATAATGCAAATAGAAAATTATATTGGGAATATAAGGAGATCACCATGGCAGAGAAGTCAAACTAAAACCACATCATCGGCAGAGATGCTGTTAGACTAAAGATGTCATTTATCCAAAGAAGTTGCGAACTGATGTATGGGGTGCTTACTAGAACAACCAGAGAAAAATTAATCAGAGAGATGTCGAAAGAAATCCGTGAATGGAGAGATGTCAAAACATTCAAATAAAGATAATGAACATTTATTTGTGACTTTAAATGAGATGACAAACACGGCTTGGAGACGTGAAAGATCTAATTTTCGAAATTTATCAGCAATAATAACCAATGGGTAATCACTCACGAAACGTTTGTGTCGACACGCTTGTTTTACATTCTTTGGTTAATCAGGTCCTATCCTTAATTCAGGTTATTCAAAATCCCATTCATCAAATTATTAGGCATCTTTATTAGCATAAGTCATCTCACAATTATCTATTAATGATGATATTGTACATTTTACCATCTTTCGGGGCTGAGAACCTTGATGATAAATTTTTTATCTGATCAAAAATTTCATGTTTTATGTTTTGTAATGTTTTAATCCAGAATTAACATGTATATTTGGTCTACAGGACTTGAAGGATTATATGCGTCAAGCTGGCGAAGTTACGTATGCTGACGCTCATAAGCAGCACAGAAATGAAGGGTAAGTTACTTCTCTCTTCTATTCTGGTATTTCTTTAAATATAAATATTTTTATTTATTTACAAAATGCTTTAAACTGAACATTAAGAGTAGATAATTTACCATGGCAGCATATGTTATATTTTTATTTAATGAAATAAAGTTTTTATTAATATTTTATTAAATTATTATATGCAATTAAAATTATCTAAAACTAAAATATTACAATGTTCGATTCTTAAGTGCGTAGCGATTTTTCCTTGTGCTACAAAAGATAAAATAGTCATTTACAATTACAAATTGTTTCCATTATTAATTCAACTCACAATCCTTTCAGCAGTATAGATTGGTCTAAGTGATTATCTCTATCATTTTGAATATGGAGTGAAAAACGTCTACACGAAATTCTTTTACATCCACCATTCATGCACAGTCAAATCATACGTCACAGGTTATGTCAATCGTTTGTACCGGATCATTAAAAATGTGCAATCATCAATACTTTTCGCGATTTGGGTGAAATGACCGAAACATTCACGACTGACACACGGCTATTATGTTGAATGTATTGCAGTGTGGTGGAGTTCGCGTCGCACTCGGACATGCGGGCGGCCATCGAGAAGCTGGACGGAACTGAGCTGAACGGGCGGCGCATCCGGCTGGTGGAGGACCGGCGCTCGTCGCGGCGCCGCACGCGCTCATCGTCCAGCCGCTCGCGCTCGCGCTCGCGCGACCGTCGCCGCACGCGCTCCAGGTACATTAACAGGCCAAACTGTCTTTACACTATCGCAACTACCCAGCTGAACAATACACCTTCCCCGTAGATTTGCCATAGTTGATCTTACCACGTTTAGAAGGAGGGTTGACAACCAAAGTTTTTTTTTAGTTGTTAGGAAGGCTGCTGTCCTAGTTTGTTTCTCTCTGTCGCCTTATATTGAGCTAACGGAGTCATTTAAATGTCATTAAGATTGAATACCCTTTTTTTAAATTTTGTCTATGTGTCTATTCAAGTTAATCTTCGGAATAGATAAACCGATTTTAGTGGAACTCCACAAACGGATAGAATGCAATACTAGGACTGATCTTGGCTATATTTTATGCGAAAAAAGAGATTTAAAAAAAGGCTAAATATTGGTAAAATAAATGGTCTAGAATTAGCTTAAATAATAATAATGTCCTCCAGACCGAATTTCGGCCACGGCGACCAGTCTTAACGGAGGCTAGCTATCGGCGCAGGGCAGGATTATATTACCCAAGTGTATGCGCAAGCACAGCTGCACTCTCTATTCCTTCCTCTCTTAAGCTTAAATAACTTAAATAACGCCACTTCTATAGACACTACACAGGCGAAGGCGGGTCGCTTGGTAATTAGAGGGTAATTAATAAATTAAATGTGAGTAGACCGTGTAGTATAGCAGTGAAAGAATACCCACTACTGGATATCTATCCGTGGGTGTCGTAAGAGGCGGCAGTGGGAAGTGAAACAGGAGATAGACCGCAGTATGTTCTTCGTAACATCTCAAAATAATAATAATAACCACGGTTACCAACCCGCCTGCCAATGAAGCAACTACTGCAAATATTCTCTATGAGGGAGACCCATGTGTTCAGCAGTGGACTTCTGATAGTTTATTCTTTCATATAAGAATATTAATTAAGATTGTTTATGATGATACTATATCTTTACCATCTTTCGGGGCTGAAATCTCTGACTGATAATTTTCTAACTGAGAAAACCTAATACTAAATCTATATCCTTCTTCACATCAGTTTGTTTTGTTACCAGTCAAGTCAATTTCGTTTTCAGGTCCCGTTCTCGTCGTTCTTCGCGTAGCCGTTCACGCTCTAAGTCACGACCAAAGAGCAAGAGTCCAGTTGCCAAATCTCGTTCCAGATCGCGATCAAAGTGAGTATTTTTGTTAGTTATTAGAAATAATTTGAGCAGACTTTTTGGTATAAATTAAATAAAATTATTGACTTTAAAAAAAAACAAATACTTCACTTCATATAGCTTTTTGGAACTAAAAGCCACCTAAAAGTCTGCGAGTAAATTTGATAAACTGTAGTTTCCATTTCAAAATTAAGCTTGCATGAAACTCTTTTCTTTCTCTTGTTGCCACACAGCTGTGCATAAACTATACTATTAAATATTTGCATGATTTCAGTAATAACTTAGTATTCATTTGGCTAGGTGTGTTATTACATGTGCTGAGCAAAACTTAAAGACGTAAGTACAGCGTACAGTGTATTCGGATATGTGTATGGAGTAGATCCAATTGTTGTTAGATTCTATGTCTTCATTCAAATGTCATGCAAATTAAAATAAAGGTTGAACTTGCTATATCCAATATTCATCTCAGAGGGTTATGATTGGTCAAAACTATTGGTGTACTTAATTTTTTGCATTAATTATATTTCAACTAATTTTAACTGCAAAACAGCAGTTGTAATATTTACACTGTTTATTCTTTTTTCTTAATTCCCATATTTCAACGAATTCTTTAATTTCCTGCTACTTAGTAGTATTGCGAAAGTGTTTAAAGTTGACTTTGTTAAAATGTGTTAATAGTTTGAATATAAACATGATTTGTTTTGTTTGGTTAAATCTTTAATACACTGGATTCATGTGAACCAGAGCAAAATTTGGCACTTTTTGTTGTTCACTGAACATCTTTTTTTGTTTGCTAGAAGAGAATGGCTGATAATTAGATAAAAACGTCCAAAAGGATGAAAGATTAGTTGAAGTGACTTTCACTTCCATTACCATGGGTACAACGTTATTTTGGTGTTTATCTTAAGCTAGATTGGAACTCACCTAATTTGGCTATCCTGCCTACTTTTAAATGTTTTTGTCACCAAGTAGTGTTTTCTGATTTTATTCTGATTTAAAAAAAGTTACCCTCACACTAGGATTTTCTCCTGTATTGTGGAAGCAGTTTACATACATAAATTTCACAAGGACAAACATCCAGACACGGAACAATTACTTGTAGGCCATACAAATACTTGTTCCGTGCGGAATTCGAACCCGCGGCCTTCAGCGCTATAACTCATTGCTAATCTACTGCGCCGCGGAGCCGTCAAAGTGTGTATCTTATCAATAGTTGTGATCAGGTTTTAAGTCAATTTTAAATATTGCTTTATTACGTTTGTGTATTTTATTATCTTGATAATAATTTAATACATTTGTTATAATCGTACCTTTCTTTAAAAGTACGATTTTAACGAATGTATTAAACACAATAGTTTTGACAAATCCATACTCTACAATGGTTGTTTGGTAGAAGTTGTAAACTTATTGTATCAATTACTCGAATGTTCTCCACCGGCACTATATTAGGGAGCGAAGCCGTTCCAAGTCAGCTTCCCGGTCCCCATCGCGTAAGTCCGACCGCCGCGAGAGATCAGCCTCCAACAAGTCGATTGACAGGAATGGGCGCCGTTCGACATCCAGATCAAAGTCCCGCTCGCCAAAAGACTCCAAGTAAGTTTGTGTGCTTTCAATATCACTGACGGATTTGCTATGCAGTGAGATTATTTCTCGAGTGTTGTAGAAAAATAACATCGCTTGAGGATTAATATGGATCAAGCAATACTGATAAGCAGCTTCTTGCTTACCAGTGCTAAACTTCTATTATTTATAAAATGATTTTGATTGAGGTTAAATAACTTACAATTAATATGGCCATTAATGTCAATGAATTCTTCAAGTTGCAAAGATAAATAATCTCACTCAAATTATATAGTAAGCATCTCCGACAGTTATCAAAAAATAAAAACATTCATTGGTATTTTTGATTATAAAAAAAAAAAAAAAGAATTTTAGCGATTAATAAAATTGATGGCACAAACAATTTATTAAATCGATACATATTTTCGTGCGTCACTAGAGTGAAAGCAGTGTGCAAAAGGTGAGCGCCAATTTATTCAGATGTAGTTGTTTTAAAGCTTTATATTATTTTTTGCTTAAAGCTCTATCTTAAGCTTTTATTGCGAAGGCATGATATACTTTTTTACCATATTAAAGTCACTCAAATTGATGAGTTTACAAAAAATAATTCTGCAATAGTTGTTATCAATTAGAAATACAATGATCCTAAAATGTGAAATATTTCAAACTGGCTTTTGAAAATGTACATGCTGTATGAAATATTTTCTTTTTATTTAAACAATAAGTTTGTAACATAGGCTTATGATGTCGTAGTTCTGAAATTATGCTTTGCCAATGCTGTAAGTGTAAAATTTAAATAGAATTGCTTTATTTTTAGTGAATGATATATCTTTGATGTTTTGAGATACATTTGTTACGTAACTTGTTATCATAAGTTGTTTTCTAGAGCGAAAAGTTTACGTGTGCTATTTGAATGGGCTATAGAAACAGAAAATGATTTAGTATTTTGAATAACTCATCATATAAATAAAACCGTTTTTTTTGTACCTCTACTTAAATAAGGAGTATACACATGTATGTTTAACGATTTGACTGCTATTTTGTTTATTAATTTATGTATAATTTATCGATACATCGTATACATCACAAAGTAAATTACTCAAATAAAACCGTTTTTTTGTACCTCTACTTAAATAAGGAGTATACACATGTATGTTTAACGATTTGACTGCTATTTTGTTTATTAATTTATGTATAATTTATCGATACATCATATACATCACAAAGTAAATTTTTATTGGATTTAAAAAAGATATATTGATCACATAAAGTCAGGAGAAACTTTTTTGAAGTTTTCGTATCAATTTGCTGGCGCTGTCAATACCCAGTTTCGCCAATTTACAATGTTTTAAAATTTACAGGGAGAGGTCACGATCACGAAGCAAAGACGCAGCATCGCCCAAACGCGAGGATGAACGCCGGGCCAGCAAGTCCCGCTCGCGCTCGCGCTCGCGCTCGGGGGCCCGCGAGCGCTCGGCGTCACGCTCTCGCTCGCGCTCGCGCTCCGGCTCGGGCTCGCCGCGCCAGAACGGCGACGGCCGCGACCGCGCCAGCACAGATCGCTCCCCGCGCAGCGGAGATTAGGTTAACATACTTACTAGATTTAACGTTAGTTTTACGATCTCTTGTAGCTGCAGTCATATCTGTTGTCAAAAGCCCTATGCGTATGGATATGGATACTTGTGTGTGTGTGATTGAGTGCAATATGAAAGGCGATACTATGTTAGTATCTACTATTTATCGAGTTTTTTTTATAGATAAAAACTGAGTCAACATACCTTCTTTAATGGTCTATTGGACTTTTAATTTTCATTATTGGACTTTATTAACAAACACCAACCTAAAAGGCTTTCTTTAATTTACTTGTTATTTATTTTATTGCTAAAACGAAAGACATTTTTGCAACAATTATTCGTACTTTACTGCGAATAATTGTTACAATATTTTTTGTCTACGTGATTTCAACATCGAAATCATTCATATAAAGTATCCTTATGCGCATATTAGTAGAGTCTTAGGGATCACGATTGTAACGTAAGAGAGATAATACGCATCGTGTTTGCGGTTCTATTTGTCATTTTCACAATAACTGTCGTTTGTAATGTCACGTTTGTAACATATTTTAAATGGAACTCTCGTGTATTAAATAGTTTTTTACATAAAGAAATATTGCTCACAAAACTTAATGTTCTACTATAATATTATTTTATAATAATCCTTTTCCTCTTGTTGATGCATATTTTTTATTATTTAAGTTAAAATGTTTGCGTATGAAAAATGCATTTAAATTTTTCATAAAACTTGGATTTAAAAAAAAGAGTCTTAAACAGTTAGAAGAGTACTTTGTAAATTGACATAATTGCAAAATTCTTCACCACATTTTTTTGGTGAATATAATATATATTTTGCTTAGACATACATCTATTGTATTTAGGTTTAATGGTATTTTTTGTAAATACTAAATTTGTTAGTCACCAAATAATGAAAATAAATGATAAGATGCAATTGTAGTTATTATTTATTTCTGAATTCATTGTACTGATAATCTTTGAAAAAAAAAACTGATTTCCTGTCGAAAAATAATATATTTAATAATAATGAGCTAAGGTAATATATAATGTAATATTACAAAACAGCATACCTTAAAATCTTCTTATCTTCAGAACGAACCTACAACAAATCTAAAACCCTATCATCAAATATCCCAGACTAAACCTACATCAAAGGCAGTTTCTAAATAGGGCGATGCCGATCTCGTGAGATTCAACGCTTCTAAAACAAGCGTCTTCACTAAAAGGAGCCCGCTCACCCTGGCTCCTACTTTTCGGAATGTATCTTTGGAAACACTGACCGCCTTCAAATCAAATCAATTAGTTTATTTGTGATTCACAGGTTACAAAAAGGTCTTAATGAAATACAAATAAAGTTCAGTTTTTGATCAGCCTCATGGGCATACAAATGTCAAATCATTGGTAGTTCTATTGTTAAGCGGGGTTTAGATTTGCAAGAACTTCTGCCAAGTTATTGCGCAAGTACTTGCAGAACCGTTTACACTACCAGCTTGCTTCTGCAAGCGGCCTGCAAAATAACTTGGAAGAACATGGAAAAGAGTTTACACTTTAAGTTCAATATTTTTTGCATGCAAGTCAGAGGATCCAAATTCAGAATTGAAACTAATCATCATGCCGCTGCATCACGCAGCTGTATAAGTACGTGCTGCTGTCGTAGTAGTCTTATCTAGTAGTATTAAAATGAAACGTTAATATGTGGTAGAGACATGCTGCAGCTATATTAGTAGTACAGCACGCGTAAAATAGTCAATCAATCTGCCTCCTCAATGCTGCTGTTTCGTATGGTGAGTGTAGAGACCCTTGTTACTGGAAACGAGGCATTCCATCTAAGTTCTCATGGGTGACAACGCATCTGCATTTTGATTCGTAATCGAAGATACATGTACCAGATGTCTATGGGCCACAGCCACCACTTATCATCAGGTGGATTGTGTGCTAGTTTGTCACCCTATCATATCAAAAAAAAAACTGAAAAATAGGAAGTGGGTTTAGGTGCGAAGAACCTACGCAGTTTAAAATTTCATCAGAATGAAATTTTCCAAACTTTTTTACCTGGCATCTTGCTCATCAACTTTAAACTTTTATTTGCATGATAAATAATCCGTAAATTTCAAAATAGTGTACACTTGTGGCAAATCCTGTAAGTTACAAAACTTGCGGAAGTGAGCTTGGCGAGATTGTTTACACGGTAGGAATAGCTTGCAGAAGTCAACTTCTGCAAGTTTTATTTCTAACCTAAACCTCTGTTTAGAGTTTGAATTTTCTCAGAACCTCAACAATGGACGGTTCATTGAGTCTAGGACCAAAGCAGCCGCAAGAAAATTAGGTGTCCTTGCAACTTCACGCGGTGGCAGCTTCTTACCGCATATAAAGTGCAAGTCGGGTCGTGCATGGAATTGAGCACTGCTGTCACATGGGCTCGTGCTACAAAATGCCACCTTAGCAGCGTTAGACTCAGTTGAGAGTCTAAGAGGCTCATTTATAACCTTAAGTTGGTTGACACCAATCTTGTCAGCCTCGAGCAGAGGCGCAGAGTAGCCAGCCTCTCAGTATTCTATAGGATGCATTTCGGAGAGTGTGCGAAGGAATTACACGCTTTAATTCCTCCCTCTCCTTTCCACAATCTGACAACCAGACGGTCGGCGATTCTACACCCCTTTGTTGTCGATATACCACACGTAAGGACCAAACTACTTCTATTGTAATCCCTTCAAAGGGGTGGAATTTATTTTTCGGTCGAATACAATCTGGGCGTTTTCAAAGCAAGAGTAAATAGGCATTTGTTCAAAGATATTAATACCTATATATACTCACCTCGTGGGGGCAAAGACGGGTTATGTCGGACTCGCACCGACTCGTACGTCGCATATTGGCAGGGAACGGGAACGCTCTCGCACACATGCGCAGCGGCAGCTCCTCTTCGGGAGGAGAAGACTACTCCCCACCTCCTCAGGTAAGGCGCACCAGAAACATGACGTGCTTTCCTCCAACTCCACCTACGCAACTGACGCCCCCGTGTCCGAAGCGTGAAGCCTATGGCACCAGGAAAAACGAGTGCTCAGCACTAGCTTTCTTTACCCCAACGGCGGATCTGGTTTATCTTCACCGCCAACCAAGATTCGGATGCGGAGGGTAGGGAGAGCGGCGCCTGGTAATACTGACGAATACAATTCTTCGCAGCCCTAACCACCGATACGGTGTGCGGCCCCTCAGTCATGGGGGATAGGACGAGTGGCGAGTTCCTCCGTGATTCCACCTCAAATACAGCGGTAGTCCTTGTTCTCGTTCTCGTTCGGAGAGTGAATGAAACTACTATCTACCTACCCGATCAGTCGAAATCACTGACCTCATATGGGTAAGGTCGTAAAAAAGTGTAAATAACGCACTGGAAGATATAACACACGATAACACAATAACGTACTGGAATAATATAAAGGTCAATGTTCACTTGGAAATAGGTTCAAGTAAAATCCATTTAAAAATATTATCAATTACTTATTTTCATGAAATTAGGATTAAGTAATCACAAAAGAATGATTTCTTAAATTTACGCGAACACTACACATTGAATAAAACTATTATTTACGGATTTTATCGCGTTTAATTACTTTAATTTATTTTTATTATTATCCCGACGTTTCGGGTGCTTTACAGCACCCATGGTCACGGGGGGGACTGAGATGTTTGACGTCCCAATGTCATAGTTAGTCCGGCTACCTTCAGTTTTTTTTTAATATTAAATTTTGGTCCGATTTACGCAAAACGAGCTTATAGTATCATGAAGTCTTGCAGTGGTATGCTAGGGTTTTGGTTTAATTTTGTTAATTATAGGATCCCAAGCAGATGGTAGCACCCAACCATCTTCTCTATTGAAATTTGGATGTTTTTTAATTTCAATAGCCTCGCGTATCATCCTTGGTAGGAATCGGTGTTCTTTTGCGAGAATTTGTGGTTTATCAAATCTAATGTAACGGTGGGGACGATCTTGAACATGTTCGCAGACTGCAGACTTCCCGGAGCGTCGGTGCTTCACATCAGCTATATGTTCCTTCACGCGGGTTTTTATAGATCTCTTTGTTTGACCTATGTAAGAGAGACCACATTCACAATCTAGCTTGTACACACCTGCATCTTGTAGAGGAATATTACATTTGATGGATGGTAAAAATTGACTAATCTTCTTCAGCGGCTTGTAGTATGTCTTAATGGACGCTCGCTTCAAGATGTAGCCAATCTTGTCCTTGACTCCTCTGACATATGGTAGTAGAGCAGGCGCGCGCTCGACTGTGGCCGGCTTCACTCGTTCACTGTGACGTAGGTGCGGGACCCGAAGCTTGTTGTCTTGCAATACTTGCTTGACGTGCTGAAGCTCCGCGGCCAGATGTTTTCTGTCACAGATGCCTCGTGCTCTCTGAAACAAAGATTTACCCACGGTAGCTAATTGTGAAGGATGATGGTGAGATTCACCACTTAGATATCGGTTGGTATGGGTCTTTTTCCTATACACAGTGTAATTAATTGTTGAAGGTTGTAAGGAAAAAGTTGTAAGAACCAGAAGATCGTGTCGAGAAAACGCAGGAAAATCTAGTTGATCATGATTTATAAATCACTCACTAACTCATGTTATAACATGATCCTCTGAACTAGTGCAAATGATGTCTAAACATGAATCTTCGTTGTCCACGTTTTGGTGAGTTGGACTAGATGGTAGAATATAGAGATCTGCCGAGTCAATGTTGGCTTTGAGTTTGCGACTCTGAGGGGAATCCTTTAGCAAGTTGGTGTTGAAATCACCCAATATTATAATATGTATATAAAGTCGATCACCAATTCAATATGGGAAAAACAATCAATTGCAGGAGGGCAGTAAACAACTCCGAGCACGACTCTGAAACCCTTAATATTTACTTCTAGAAATAGGTAGTCGGCAGATCCTCTATATTGTGATATTGCAATGACATCATATGCATATTCTACTAACTATGACATTGGGACGTCAAACATCTCAGTCCC